CGACGGTCAAGGGAGACCGGGACGTCATGAAGATCGTCATCAAAGATAAGAAGGGAATTATGGGGGGGCATCGCAATCTGGGGGGACATGGCGCATCTTCCGGAACTCAAGCAGCTCCAAGTTCGCGGTGACGTCATCATCGTGAGCGGCATCCAGTACGACCAGGATCAGGGCTGCAGCAGCACGCGCAAGTAAGTGTGCCTTCGCAGAATCCGATATTGGCGTGCCTTTATCCCGGCGTAATACTTATTAGCACCGCTTCGCACCGTCAGCAGAATCAACATCACCTCGCGGTTCGTGGTGAATCAGTTGTAATGCAAGATGTGAGCCCTTCGTTCGCTAAGCCAGCAACGCGACTTCCTGCGCTGAGCCCTTGCTTCTCGCTTCCGTGCTATTGCGTCACTTCTACTGAACGATCTTCCAAGTCTTACAACAGTTCCGTGCAGTGCGCGAGCGCTCCGTTTTCGTGTGTTTGGGCGTTGCCGCACCTCAACACCTGACGCACGTTCCGATGAGCAAATAAACGAAATATAATTGTGCCCAACTTAAGCAACCATTTCTTGTATACAGCACCACGATTGTGAAGAGCGACGCGTCCGCGGCCGCCGTCGCGGGCATTGGACTTACCTACAGAGTCTCCACCGTCGACAAGATCCTGCCCTGGTCACGCGTCATCCAATCACTGTCCGGAAGCAAGTGGACAACTGCTACGATCTTAGCCAGCTTCACCAATTTCACGAAGATTGACTCCATCGTCTACGGCTGCTACGACTGCAGTGACTCTGCCAGCCGCAACCCGGTTACGCACGAGATGTTCTGCGACCAAGGCTGCCAGCCAGGTCCCCTGCAAGATGCGTGCGTGGAAGTAACCGTTTCGGTGGACATCAGGATTGACAGCGGACGTAAGTTGTCTTTTTTACTCAATTTCTGTCACTTCTCTATTTCTCTTCGATGAGCGACAGACATCTTTGGCGCGAAATAGCAGAAGCTTTGTCGATTCTGTCGAGTTTTGCGCCGTGCGAAACTTGTAGCTTTCTCTTGGTACCAGTACGGACCGAAGTCGCTGTGCCGTACAAGCAGTCGCTGCAGTCATCATTCTACACAGAGCGCCTCATCTCGCTAAGAAATCAATGCTTTTACCTGGATTGGCCTTCTAGCTATCAACAATAGATTCTCCTCGCACGGCAGACTTCAGCGGAACGACGATGTTTCCCACTGCCCGTCGCAATTCCCACAGACTTTTATTGAGCAAACGCTTCAACTCTTAAAGAAATCATTCTTCTGCAGCGGACACGCTCTCCGTCAAAATATGGCCCAACGAGTTAGCGCTCGTCACGGGCGCACACCTCAAGAGCTTCTCCACGAAACCGCCCAACGAGCGGATCGATCAGCTGAACACGCGCTTCAAGAACCGCAGCTTCGCGATGCACGTTCGGATCCGCGAGAACCCAAACTCACAATACAGTCAGTACCAAGCGAAAATCATTGGCTTGGATTTGCTGCCAGAGTTCGGGTTCTTCAATAAAAAGTACAAAGCAGAATAGAGCGAATTTAGCTTGAGACATGCAACGTAAGAGCAATTTGAGATTGGATCAACTAGTACTCCAATCTTCTGAAACGCACTCTGATAAATAGTAACACTCGATAACAAATGGTTTGGGGATGATTTAGGTAAAGCTGGAAAGCATTCAACGTAAACTTAGTAGATAGCATACAATAAACTGTACAGTGTGCTGCTGTCCAAATTTCTCAGCCGTTCTCCGCGTTCTCATGCTTCCATACAATCGACTCGGGCTTGCTTGCGCCTCGATGCAAATTCATGCGTTTGGCATTCTACACTATCCGTCCTCATATAGCATCACTCAAAGATGATCTACGATCGACATGAGTTACGATCATATGTGTGCTCTTATGCTCGGATGCCAGATCGAACAATTCCGATCTGAATGACTAGCTAGTGCTTCAGTTTGATTGCCGTTCGATTCGACTTCATACTTGCATACTATACAGCAGATCGACTACAAACGGGATGATCAACGGACAGAATCCATCATTCGTGTGTGGACAGCTTGCGTCTGCTATCAAAAACGACTACGTTACCCTAATCTTTATCAGCTACGCACTTAAAAAAAGCGAAGACTTTTCTATTTCAGCTAAGACGCGCAGCCAATATTTCAATGTCCTGCAAGTCCAACCAAAGATATTAGCCTTCCGGAAATCGTATGCAGCTGTCAGCTATCGAAACATCAATGCAATCTGCTAATCAAATGCTCAACATCTTCGACCACATCGATCAACCCCGCGCTAAGTTATTTACTTACCCATAAGACTCGCTTTTTGTGCTCCAAGCTTTTCTCTGACGTCGAATATGGACTGGCCGACGTCATCGAGCTGCGTGTGTTGTACGATCTTGCGAACCTGCAATCGAATCACTGCAGCTATAAATCGTAGTCGCGCACAAATGTTCTGGCGCAAAGCTCAGACGAATGAGAGATTGCACGACAGTTCCGAAAAACATTTCAAGTACCAAGACGGACCACGAACAAACTCATAAGTAAGCATCGGTTTATTCTTAACCCAATTCCAAGAAATGCCTCTCTCTAAAACCCTAATTTCACAATACGGAAATCAGCACACGCAGCGAGCTCACGTGCATCGTGTGCCCAGCATCATCTTCACACCGTGATGCCAATGCATGCGGCAGCTCATCGGCCTTCAAATCGTCCTCTAACCGGGCGTAACCCGGCGGCAGACCGCTAGAATCTCCCACATCAGCTGAACTTTCGGCTTCCGCATCTCCCTGCCGCAAAATCCGCAGGCGCATTCTGTGGCGCGGATCAGGAGCTATGACGTAGGTCTGAAATTGCCGCAAAATGTGGTCAGCCTTCTCCCAGTCCTGCAAGCAAACAACAACGCTAAGATAGGTTATGTTTCTCTTACCTTTTTACAGTGGTCCAACAAAATTCTAGCGCACTCCATATATTTGCGTATTCTGATTGCGCACAATGCTCCACAAGCTTCAATCAAACTCACCACATCGCGCGCAAACAGAACTTCGAAATGTGTAGGATGATGCAGACAGCTCCTCCTATTCATGAGCCTCTGGAATGATAGCCGCTCATCATGATTCT